TGATAATTAATACAACAGAAGTTGAGTCAATTTCCCAAATTGCTTATGTACACAAGAAATATGAAAATCAATGGTTCTTTTCCAGGACAACAAGAGTCAAGAAGTCCCTACTGTGTTATGAAGTAGCTTAAATACCACCAAAAAAAAGAGAGAAGAAAGAACAAAACTAGGTACTCATACACCAAGAATAGATGTTTAGCAGAAGCAACACCGGTTAAGACTTTACAAAAAAAAAAAAGAGCACGAAAAAAATCATACTATTGCAGACGGATTGTCTAAGCCAACGCGAAGAGCTGGAAAGTACGTCTTTTCTCCGGATTCCAGCGAAGAATTCTGTGTTGGACATAAGCAGACACCAGTTAAATTATAGTGAGCAACAATAATAATTTAAAATAGGAGGTCGAATATTCAAAAATAAAATCAGACCAATATTAAAAGATGTAGAAATAAGCAAATCTTACATCCAATGATGAACACTTTTGTGAATGCCATTTTGACCACTGCTGTAATAGCTCTTCAAGTTTTTGTGTGCTTTCTCTGAGAATGACGTGAAAGTTTATAATGTATCAATAAATATGTAAAGAAGCAATATGTAGATAGCAGTATAGCACACCTTGGCAAAGAACTATAGATTACACGCACTGAAGGTTGCTGCTCATCATCAGGTTCACGGGGTCTCTTGACACCACGTTTAGCTAGAAGATCAAGTTATGGGAAGCGTGAATAAATTAAGAGGACAAAATAAAATAAAAGAATTGACAGAATCTGACCTTGAACTCCAAACTACAGGTATAGCAAACAGCTATTACTCTAAACTTTAAACTACAAGTACAGCATACAGCCATACAAGCAAACAATCAAAGCTTGAACCAAAACAAGGATACAATTAGAATCTTTCTCCTCTTTAGACAAAAGGGTTTCATCTTTCATATGATTACTGAAACTGATTTCTGGCTGGAAAGGTAGTGATCCATTTTCAGAATGTACGTGGCTGACAGATGTCATTTTCACAGCCACTTCGACTGAATCTGCTGTTTCAAGATCATCTTTCAGCACAGTGCTGTCAAGATCCAAATTTTCCTCACCACTTGAAATTGACATGTCCACGTCATCATCTTTCGACAATGTTCCAGCTTCCCCATTACTCTCAGCTTTTATCTCAGAGTTCAGATATTGGGAATGTGGATCCTCATGCTCACTTCCATGCCCGGAATTACTGGAAGTAGGAAGTTTGATTAACTCCTCTGTCTCCATTGAATGGAGCATGAGTTCCTATCGAGCTTAAAACTGCAATACACAGAACGTAAATCACAAGTTACTGTGACTGTTAATCAAACAATCAACCATTAGGTGCAACTTTGAAACGCAGAAAATAAACTTTATGCACAGACTCTCAAGGACAGTCACCAATATACAGCTCATGCTATGAATCATTCATAACCATTGTACAACCGCACTGTACAGCCACAAATGAGAGTAAAGAATCATCAAACAAGAACTTTCATTAGAAACTCATCACGGAAACAGGAACTCATAAAACAAATAAATAAAATCAGGAGGCAATTAAATTCATCTCCTCCTAGTCTTCCCAGCAAAAAAATGCCACCATTTGAGTGTCAACAAAAAGAACAAAAATTCGGCCAGTAAAAATTGCCTCTGGCAGTCGAAGATTTAGAGATTCCACAAGTCAATTCAACAGCCCAATCCCGTAAAATGTTCAAAACCCTAGCGCTCGCAAGTTCCCAAAACAAATCAAACCCATAAATATCTGAAAAGCATAGCATGCGCTTGACGAATCTAATAAATGAAAGAAATCGAAACCAAATACATTCAAGAACAGACTTCGGGTGACAATCCCTAACAAAAAATTGGGGGAAAGAGAACACAGAATAAGGGTTTACAATTTACTTGAAAATCAGGACTAACTGAATGCCACCGAGGACAAAGAGAATCTGAAAACTTCAAAGATCGGCAAAGTGAAGCCGGCGACCCACCCACCGCAGACATTAATCTGTTGGTTGAGCTGTGTGATTTGTGCGCGCGTGCGTCCCTCTCGGGAAGAGGATACAACGCCGCAGCTTTTTCCGGTATATTATTTATTCATTAGTTAACAGGGGTGCTGTTGTATTTAATTTAGACTAGTACAGTACCCGTGCGATGCACGGGATGGTATATTTTCCTGAAATGTTTAACGTGTGAAATATTAAAAATAATATAATTTATATATATGTAATAAAAATAAATGGATTGCAAAGAAGGAAAAAAAATATAAATTATTGAACACTTTCTTTGTGAAGTAAAATTTGTGAAGGTTTGGTATATTTGATTATGAATAGAAAAGTATGAAATACTACCTGCGGACCGTTGAGATAGATGAGAAGATTTACTTAGAATATATAGAATAAATATTGAGATAATGATTTACCTTTTACCTAGTATAGATAAAATAAATATTGACATGATGTGGGAAAATTATGACGAATTATGACATAAATTCGTTTAGAAAATATTCAAAAATTAGATTTATTTTTTATTTTTTAAATCTTTACAGTAATTCGTACGTTCCTTTTCATACGCTTAATTTATCAATTGTACACATACAAATCAAAATTAATGCAACTCGAAATATTATATAACAAATAAAATGAGATTTTTATCTAACATTTAGTATATTGCCGGAAAATTTTTTATAAATCTTATTCTCTTTTTATGCACATAGATATTAAAGAATGAGTAAAAAAAATATCTAAATATGTTTAAAAGTATCTAATATTATATGTGTTAACAGTGTTACAACCAAAAGACATTAAGAATACGCAGACTATTATATAACATATGTGAAAGTATTAAAATATTTTATATTATTATTGAAAAATGTGAAATTACCTCAATTTTGTCTAGACTATTTTATAAGAAAAATATATATACTTAAAGTTAGCACACACATATATATATATCCTTAAAATTTGCCCAACTAACATGTTTAAAAGTATATAAAATTTTATATATAAAATACGTTTAAAGTTTACATATTTTACAAAAATTAGACTGCTCTCAGTTTATATAAAGTTTGTTGCTCTCATATTCGGATAATGTATTATGCATTTAATGAAAGCACCTACGATACAAATTTATAAATATTAATTAAAATAATTTTCTAAATTATATAAAATTGAAATAACAAAGGTAAATATTACCTGTTCATCGTGAAAATGCGTTACAGCTCTCCCGTTCGTGATGGGTTTCAATAATGCGGACTGCTCTCAGACACAAAAAAGGTTTGTTATAAATATTAATTAAAATAATTTTCTAAATTATATAAAATTGAAATAACAAAGGTAAATATTATCTGTTCATCATGAAAATGCGTTACAGCTCTCCCATTCGTGATGGGTTTGAATAATGCGGACTGCTCGGTTTCAATAATGCGGACTGCTCTCAGACGCAAAAAAAGGTTTGTTATAAATATTAATTAAAATAATTTTCTAAATTATATAAAATTGAAATAACAAAGGTAAATATTACCTGTTCATCATGAAAATGCGTTACAGCTCTCCCATTCGTGATGGGTTTGAATAATGCGGACTGCTTGGTTTCAATAATGCGGACTGCTCTCAGACGCAAAAAAAGGTTTGTTATAAATATTAATTAAAATAATTTTCTAAATTATATAAAATTGAAATAACAAAGGTAAATATTACCTGTTCATCATGAAAATGCGTTACAGCTCTCCCGTTCGTGATGGGTTTCAATAATGCGGACTGCTCTCAGACGCAAAAAAGGTTTGTTATAAATATTAATTAAAATAATTTTCTAAATTATATAAAATTGAAATAAAAAAGGTAAATATTACCTGTTCATCATGAAAATGCGTTATAGCTCTCCCGTTCGTGATGGGTTTCAATAATGCGGACTGCTCTCAGACGCAAACAAAGGTTTATTTCTTTTGTTAACGTACCCAGTCTGGAAGCATTATATATCAAGTTTACCCCAGCCTGGAAGCATTATATTGTATATGCGATGAAAAATTATTCTCTGTATTTTTTTTTTCTCTGAACTCGTGAATGATGAGTTGTAATGGTGGTAGTGAATATCCTTTTATACAATTTTTTATTAACAAAAGTGATAAGATAATTATGGATTGTATTTGGATAGATTTTAAATACCATGATTTTTGGGATGCAACAACAAAATATACAATCACATGTATATATCTTATCACGTTAAAGGTATATCCATCCCTAAAAAACAGGAAAAAAAAAACATATTTTGAAAGGATTTTTAAATTAGTTTCTACAAATGGAAAGTCAATGGGGTTGTTGACCAATTTTTAAAAAGTTTCCACAAATGATTTATTGACCTCTCTTTTTCAATATATATAGATTTGTTAAGACTTTTAAGAGGATGCTTGGATACAAAACTTATCCAAAAAATTCAAACATTTTTAACTCAACCACTTTTTTTTAACTCAACCCAACTATCATTAATATTATTAATATAATTAAATAATATCAAGTAATCATTCTTACACATCACATCAACCTTAATTTACTATTCATCCACTCATATAATTTTAACTAACCATCACTTCAAATCATCTCTCTCATACTTTTACATCAAATCAACTTTAATTATTTTATTTAAAATATTATTTTAATATATCCACTAATAACTAACCATACCACCTTTTTCAAAATTAACCAAACCAAACCAAAAAATCCAAACAAATCCAAAAAATTTTATATCCAAGCATCCTCTAAAAATCCTGAGATATTCAATTGGATTTTAAAAAATCTTAAAAAAACTTGAGATATTTAATTTATTTGACACTAGGATTGGTTAAGACATTTTAAGATTTGGTGAAATTTCTAAACAAAAAATCTTATACGAAATCCTACTTCAAATCTCACCTCCAGACTTAAGATTTCACGGAATTTCTTTAAAATCTGGAAATATTAACAAATCTCAAATTTTAAAAAGTCTCAAAATGTCACTTGAAATCTCAATTGAATACAAGTGATTGGAAATTAATTTTTAAGATACAATATTGAATTGAATCAATCTCCAATCCTGTACGGTCCTGGAATATGGGTGTCCGATCGGAGTACTATTCGATATGTATGGGTCATCTATCTTGAGATTATAGAGCTAATATATTTGAATATTTCATTTCCACTAATAAATTGAATATTATTTTTGTCCGAACTATAATTGATCAAAATAATATTTATTTCATGTGTAATAAAATTCAAACCAAATAAAAGTTCATCCAATTTATATAATTTTTAAAAATAGTTACTCTATTTAATTTATTTTCTCTTCAATTTTGTCAATACCATTAAATAATAAAAACCACTACACATATTTAAAAAAAAAAATCATTATTCATATATTTTATATTCATTAACCATCGACAAGTTAAATTCATTATTTCACAATTTTTTTTTCATATCAACTTTAATCATCATATTTTATAACATACACATTAACAATACCAAAAATATTTTATTATTCCAGCAAAATAATTTTCCCTACTCTATAACACACTTTTCAAAATCGATAAACCTTATAATGGGCTAATGCATTTATAACATATTTATATAAATATAAAAAGGTTTGGCATTTATCTGAAATAATAAATAAATTCCCGTCTAAAAATTTCAAACTTACTAAACTAAGTAAATTTTTTTCAAACAGGTTTATTTTGGCATACGTATATACGAGATTCTCCAAATTATCTTTCAATAAAATATTATTATAGGGTAAAAACTTTACTGACAGACCAAAATAAGATCTATAATTCTCGCCATCTCTACCAAAATTGTTTTGTGAAAACTTAAATGGCCATCAAAATCAAATCCAATCAATTCTCCAATTAGGGCTGCACATGAGGAGACGGGCACGACGAAGCTCCATCGGGTCTTCCTCAGCTCGATGACGGCGACAACAACATCAGCCGGGATGAGCTCAGCGAGTCGTTAGAAAATCTCGGGATCTGCGTGTCGGAGGAGAAGCTCCGGGCGATGATCGAGAAGATTGACGCTCACGGAGACGCCGAGGAGTTCAGCGCCCTATACGCGACGGTGATGGCAGACGGCGGAGGCGACGATAGGGAACGGCCATGAAGAGGACGCACGGGAGGCATTTAAGGTTTTCAATCGGGACGGGGCGGGTTCGTCATGTCGGATGAGCTGAGGTCGGTGCCGGCGCTGCGGTTGAAGTAGCTGAAGACGCCAGAGAAGTACCAAAGTATGATCATCAGGGTCGACTTAAGTCGCGACGAGAGGGTCAACTTCGATAAATTTCGGCAATTGATAAAGTATAGCGAGTTCGTCAGGGTAAATTTATTATTTTTTTATAACATTTTTTTTATAATTTTTTTTTTAAAGATATTCGAGATAGGGTCGGGGTGGCTCCAATTGAGGAGAAATTGGTCCAACATCGGCTGAGGTGGTTCAGACATGTCCAATGGAGGCCTCCTGATGCACCAGTGGGTAGGGGAGTTCTACAGCGGGTCGATGATGTAAGTAGAAGTAGAGGTCGGCCCAAACTCACTTGGAAAAAATCGGTTAAGAGAAACTTTAAAGATTGGAATATCTCCAAAGATTTAGCGGTGGATAGGAGCGCTTGGAGACTAGCAATCAACGTGCCAGAACCGTGACTTTTGCTCTTCTCTCTTTTGCTCTAATCTCTTCCTTGTGTTTTGAGTCTTTTTGTGTTTCTCTTACCATTGGTTCTCTTGGGTTTCATCTATAGCCTACCTCAACTTGCTCGAGACTAAAAGACTATGTTGTTGTTGTTGTTTATAATATTTTTTTAATTGCATATGTCAATTGGTTGGTATAATTATTGGATTTTGATTCTTGCCTCCATTTTTTATGTGGCTGAGAAATAATTTATGTGTTTGATCTGCAAATTGTTGTCGGAGGGGTGTCTGGAGAGGATGAAGGCAAGACTTTTGTGATAAATTTGTTGGCCCCACACAGAGTGGTGCTGGAACACGCGGTAGTCGGATTCATAAACCAATGTGGCCGAGCTCCAGGAGGCTGTGATGTGCGGGATGCCGATGGTTGAGTGGCCGATCTACG